TTTCTCTAACCAGGTTCTGGGAATGCCAGCCAAGAAAAATGTCATCTTGTATGGCTGCTGCTCAGAGCCATACCCAGACATTACCTTTTCCCTCCACCTGAAGAGGCGGTCCTCCTTCTACATCTTCAACCTCCTCATTCCCTGCATGATGATCTCCTTTCTGGCTCCGCTGGGCTTTTACCTGCCAGCGGATTCAGGTGAAAAGGTTTCTCTGGGTGTCACAGTGCTGCTGGCCCTCACCGTGTTTCAGCTGCTCGTAGCTGAGAGCATGCCACCCTCTGAGAGCGTCCCACTGATAGGTGAGAACAGCCTCTGACTTTTATTTACATCTATGTATTTAAAAAAAAAAAAACATTCATGATGAATCAGAATTATTGTAATGTTTATATTCATCATCCCTCCTGCAAATGTTACATGGCTACACTGTATCTGACAAGTTACTAATATTTGAGGGTGCATGTATAGCCTTAGGGATGTCCCTAGAGTGTATCCTCAGAGTAATCCAAAGAGATTTTCCTGTTATGCCAATGTGTTAGGCAAGCAGAGCTTCACTGCAGAAAGAGTGCAGAGGCTAAGCCTATGTTTGAAGCCACTGAGGTGTTTGATGGGCGGGGTTGACATGATGTCACTAATATGACTGAAAACTTGTGGTATGGAGAAACTCCAATAACTCCAGCATTGTTTAGATTAAGCATTTATTGCTCATCATTGATTGAACTTGCTGTTCCACAGTTCATCTTAATATCCAAAATAAATCCCAGCAGTCACAAACTGTTTGGTTGCTTCAACCAATTAAACCTGACCCTAATTAAATGTTCCTGCCTTAAATACAATCATTTACAAACACAAAAAGTGAAAACTAGACCCACACATAAGATAATACACAAAACATGAAAATGGCTCCTACAATGAGGTTCAGGTTAAAGGGAAGACTAAATGGGATTTAGGAGTCACCAAAGAGTCGATCAACAGGAAACGGAAAATCACTCTGAGGTCTACAAATGGTTACTGGACATCTCACTGAGGGATGAGATCAAGAACAAAGCTCTTGCTGATCTCTGTCTAAAATCGAAGCTGGAGAAGGTGGGGCAGTTTTTAGATTACGTAAAAGATGTAATCTTTTGTATTAAATCTATTAGCAGAAGATACTGGTGATTGCCCAACAACACCTGATGCTGACCAGTTTATAAAGTCTAATTTACACTATTGTGTTCATTGATTGTTTACAGTCAGATATGATCTTCACTGACTTCAGACGTCTTTTGTAGATGCCTTTAAAGTATGTAATTTGGATAAAAGTAGCACATCTCAGTGATTGCTGGGGCACAGTTGTTGTCGATGGATTTGAGGATCTTTTAAAACCTCCAGCTTGCAGCTCTCATTGAGTCACTGAGCCTTGGCATCAATGACAAGAGGACTACTGACAAAGAGGATTCAGATACAGACCCAATCAAAATGATAGGTGGAGCTTGGATGGAGGTGGGTTGCAAAGCAGCTTGGATCTTACTCTAACTGTGATTTTCAGCTTTCAATTTTCAGAGATTTCAATGCAGCAATGCAGCAACTACCCAAGTGCCTCTGCAGTAAATAAAGAAGTATAAGAGGAATGTTTGCTCGTCTGCCGCTGTCTGTTGTCACACCCACTTTAGACTTCACAGGGTTAAACAGAGTGTCCTATATTCACCAGCTGTATGCTTTTACTGCAACTAAGACTAAAGCTTGATTTGGAGTTATAGGGACAGCAAATAAGGGTCGCCAACCTCTACCTGATTTTTCGGTGTCTCATTTCTATAGGAAAGTACTACATTGCCACCATGACCATGGTCACTGCATCAACAGCGCTCACCATCTTCATCATGAACATCCACCACTGTGGCGGGGAGGCTCGTCCCGTGCCTGAATGGGCCGAGCGCTTCATCCTCAAGTACCTCGCCCGCATCTGCTTCGTGTACGAGGTGGGTGAGAACTGCCTCGGTGGCGCCAGGAAAGAACCTTTATCACAGGAGGGGTCTGACAGCCCATCAGCCAATGGCGGCAGCACCAAAGGAGCAAATTGGGATGTCAATGGGAAGGCGTGGGGAGGAAAGGTGGAGGTGGAGCCTCTGAAGATGGGGCAGGAAGTAACCAACCAGACAGACTGGAAAGAGGATCTGTTTGTGACCATTGACCACTCACAGGAGAAAGGAGCTGCTGTAGTGCGAGGGGAGGAATCAAACTGTGGGGAGCACGAAGAGGAAAAGAAAGGCGCAGGTGTTGAGGGAGGAAGTGGAGCTGGGGGGAGCAGAAGGGAGATCTTGGTGAGGTGTTTATGCCAACACCAGGAACTGGGCAAGAATGTTGAGTACATTGCCAACTCCTACCAGGACCAGCGAGCAGCACAGCTGCGCATCGGCGAGTGGAGGAAGGTCGCCAAGGTCATGGATCGCTTCTTCATGTGGCTCTTCTTCATCATGGTCTTCTTCATGAGCATCCTCATCCTGGGAAAGTCCGTCTGATGGAGCTCAGCCTAAGAATTCACGAGATGATAAAATTGTTTGTTTAACAATTAAATCTTTTTTTTTCTTCCTTTTTTTCTGACACATGTAAACAGCTAAAAAATAACTGAATGATGGTTTTAAGGGTCATTTTACTCTTTTGTAAGCTGGTACCTGGTAGCTTTCCTCAAAATCATTTCCACCAGAATTTAAAATGCTTATCTTTGGATTTGAAAGAGACTCTGAAGGCTGATGAAAGTAAAATGATTGGGGAAAAAAATAGTTTCTAATTATTTACAAAGATCCTAACAAATGCTGGAGAAGCTAAACACGTCTCTGTTGGACACAGCATGAAGGGAGAATCAAGGGTGGGTTGCAAAGTGGTTTGCATGATGCAGCAACTGTGGACAGCCTAAATGAAATTTACCAGTTAGATGTGTAGATGGGTGTCTGCAGAGCCGTTAGTTGAGAAGGATGAATGAAATGAGTAGAGCTGTAAGCGCTAATCTCAGTGTTAAAATGACGTTAACGTGGCAAGTATGGTTAGCAAATTATCACGGATCGCCCCGTGTGTGGGGCTGGATAGCGCTAACGCATTAACGAGCTAACCGCGCTAATGTGTTGACGCGGTCCAGCCCCACGCACGGGGCGATCTGTGATAATTTGCTAACCATACTTGCCACGTTAATGCGGTTATGGCGTTAACGTCATTTTAATGAGATTAACGCTGACAAGACGAGAAATAAGTGATCTGCTGTTTTTCTTAATTTAAGTTGTATTGTGCTCATATCTTCAGATCACAGATGTTTTAGGCTTGCGACTGTTTGCATTTGCATTCCAGCACTGAATTGGTCACTCTAGATTTCAGCATTCAGGCATTTATGAACCCATTCATCATCATGCCTGAATGCTTTTCATTGAGCTATCTGACTCTCAGAACAGCATCTCCACCACCTTTGTTCCTGAGGGTAAGTTGGTATCGGTGCTTTGATGCAGCTGATCTCGACTTTGTAGCCTTAACGAAGTAATAATAGGTTCAATTTGATGTCCTTTCTAGTGATTATTCATATTTAACACACTTTTATCTGCATCAATTCTGTCTGGCAAGTACAGACTTTTTATACTCTAAACATGGTGATGCTGCTTCTGTGATTACGATCTGAACTACAAACTGTTGTCTTGCAAATAATCATAATCTGGAAACAAAAAGGAAAAAAGGGAAATCTCAGAAGAGCCAAACCTTGATTTTCCCTCCAAAAATGCTTTCAGCTACATTTTGCTACTGAAGAAAACAAAAACAAACTTTAAATGGTTGATAAAACATTTTCAGGCTCGATCTTAAACAAACTAAAATTC